TAAATGAAATAATCATAATTATATAGGGAAATATAAGATTAAAAAAATTTAATTGAATACTATGAAAAGAATAGTAAACAATATTAAGAAAAGTTATCTGAATTAAATTAATCTATTAATCAATATAAATCTTAAGAAAAAATATTACAAAATAAAATTCAAGAGAATGAAAAGAAAATTTAAGAATACTAAGATTTTAATCAAAATTAAAAGATGCAATTATAATAATTAAATTAAATTATTTAAAATTCTTAGTAAATAAAAGAATAGGAAGATAAGAGTGAAATTTTAATAAATAAAATACTCTTATAACTTGAAAAATAAGACAATCAAATTCAACTTTAATACAATATTTTAAGTGAGAAGAAATGTAAAGAAAACTTATAACAAAATGAGAAAGAAAAGAAAATTTAAGATTACTAAGAGATTATTCAAAATTAACAGGTCCAATTATTAAAATTAAATTAAATTATTGCAGATTCTAAGCAAATAGAAGAACTAGAAAATCAATTTGGAACTTAAATTCTTAAAATACTTGATTCACTAGAAAACCAATAAAATCAAAAATTAATTCAACTTTAATAGACAATAGTTACAGAACTAAAATCCATTAAAATAAACTCATAAAATTAGTCTGGATAGAATGTATATCAAGAGAAACTGGAGGAATTAATATAACTAAATGCTTAATTATAAAACACAGTTTAATAATAAGAATGCCAACTTCAATAAAAGAACATATAAATAGATATCGTTAGATCTGAAACCAAACGTTTATTAGAAAATTTAAAAAAAAATTCTATTTAACCTTAAAATATAAACATGCACATACGATAATCCATAGCTGCCTTGATTGCTTAATAAATTAAAGATATCTAATAAATATTTTAGATTATAGATGAAGCTAAGAATTAGATTGTCTCCTTTCTTTCAGAAAATAAAAACCATAGTATAAATCAGGATAAAGGGTTTGCGAGCGATTTAGAATACATAAAAAGCTAATCTTCGCTGCT